ACAGTAGGCATTGAAACTTTTTTTTTTTTTTTTAATTTTCTAGAGATACATTAATTTTTATTTTCTAGAGAGACAGAGTCTTGCTATGTTGCCCAAGCTAGTCTCAAACTGCTGGTCTCAAACTCCTGGCCTCAAATGAACCTCTTGCCTCAGCCTCCTGAGTAGCAAGAATTGTAGGTGTGAACCACTATGCCCGGCACCAGCTCAAAGATTTGACAAAAAATAAATGAACAACCATTTGTATCTGTGGTTTGAGTGGGGCAGAAGATGAGAGTGTACCCGTGATGGACCAAGTGGTATAGTCACAAATTAGAGCCTCATCTAAATCCTATTTTTCGAAGTCTTGTTCTGGTTACTCTTACCCATCCTGATTGTTTTAATCCTTATTATACCCTAGTGATTCTGCATAGCTAGCCCAGTTTTTCTCTCATGAATTCACGTGTATTAATCTTTCCCCAAATACTTGCTAAGTTTTTTGAGGGAAAATATCAGCACATATTTTATTGGCATAACTCAGTAAAACTACATTGGCATAATTCAGTGACTTACCAAAACAAACGAGTTGGAGACCAGCCTAGCTAACATGATGAAACCCCGTCTCTACTAAAAAGACAAAAAATTAGCTCGGCATTGTGGTGTGCACCTCTAATCCCAGCTATTCTGGAGGCTGAGGCAGGAGAATCACTTGAACCTGGGAGGCAGAGGTTGCAGCGAGCCAAGATTATACCACTGCACTCCAGCCTGGGCAACAGCTCAAGACTCTGTCTCAAAAAAAAAAAAGAAAGTTGCAGAGTGCACAGAACAGCCTGGCACAGGGGAATCCCTTGCTGAGCTGTCTAGAATGAGGGTAGATGAGTGGAAATGCCTTTCAGGACCATCTCTGTCCCTCTGTCCTAACTTCCTGCTCATTATGCAACAGACTGATGTTTCCCAGGTACTTTAGAATTCGAGGGCTTGTCCTCTGCCATGTTGTGGTTAAATACACTGGCAGTCAGTGTCGTATCAGTCCATCTTGGGGAATATCTTTGGGTTTCCTGTAAGGTCTAAGCAGGTAGACAGAAGACTATAATAAACACTTCCTAAATGATTCTTCTCTACCTAGTCTCTTCTTCAGAATGTAACCTAATGATAGCTTCTCAGATGAGTTCATCTACAATGACACAAGGGCAAAGGGGCTATGGCAATAAAATGTGAAAGGCACATTGCAGTGTATTCCATATATAAGTAGTGTTATCATACCTGACAGGAATTATTCATTGTTTTTCAAATATGAGAACAGAAATTCTGAATTAAACATCCAAGTTTTTTGTTTGTTTGTTTTTTCAATAATATTGCTATTTATTTTTGTAGAAACAGAGTCTCACTATGTTGCCCAGACTGGTCTTGAACTCCTGGACTCCAGGGATCCTCCTGCTTCAGCCTCTGAAAGTACTAGGATTACAGGTGTGAACTACCACACCTGGCCCAAGTTTTTTTTTTTTTTTTTTTTTTTTTTTTTTTTTTTTTTTTTTTTTTTTTTTTTGAGATGGCGTTTCGCTCTTGTTACCCAGGCTGGAGTGCAATGGCGCGATCTCGGCTCACCGCAACCTCCGTCTCCTGGGTTCAGGCAATTCTCCTGCCTCAGCCTCCTGAGTAGCTGGGATTACAGGCACGCGCCACCATGCCCAGCTAATTTTTTGTAGTTTTAGTAGAGACGGGGTTTCACCATGTTGACCAGGATGGTCTCGATCTCTTGACCTCGTGATCCACCCGCCTCGGCCTCCCACAGTGCTGGGATTACAGGCTTGAGCCACCGCGCCCGGCCCCCCAAGTTTTATTAAAACAGTAGAGCTGTTATATGAAGAGCATAGGAACATAGATTTGAAAGGTTTCCCCCGTTCTAACCTAGATGCCTTTTCCACCTGATCTTGGGAGAAATTAGGATCACTTAAGCCCTCATTTTAAAGAGAAGTAAGCAGATTTTGGCTGGGTATGGTGCTGTGCACATGTAGTCTCAGATACTCGGAAGGCTGAGGTGGGAGAATGGCTTGGGCCCAGGAGTTGAGGCTGCGGTGGGCTATGATCATACCATTGCACTCCAGCCTGGGTAGCAGTAAGGCCCTTACCAAAAAAACAGGGCCCTTTGAAAAAAAAGGCTGGGTACAGTGGCTCACACCTGTAATCACAGCACTTTCAGAGGCCAAGGTGGGCAGATCACTTGAGGTCAGGAGTTTTGAGGCCAGCCTGGCCAACATGGTGAAATCCTCTCTCTACTAAAAATGTAAAAATTAGGCCAGGCGCAGTGGCTCACACCGGTAATCCCAGCACTTTGGGAGGCCAAGGTGGGTGGATCATGAGGTCAGTATTTTAATACCAGCCGTGACAGAGCGAGACTCAGGCTCAGAAAACAAAACAACAAAAATACAAAAATTATTACAAGTGGAGCATGACTGTAATCCCAACTACTCGAGAGGCTGAGGCAGGAGAATTGCCTGAGCCCAGGAGGTGGAGGTTGCAGTGAGCCAAGATCGCGCCACTGCACTCCGGGCTGGGCAACAGAGTGACACTCTGTCTCAGTAAAAAATAAAGAATTAAATTTTTAAAAGTTAGGTAAGCAGGTCTAGAGACACAGGTAAATAGTCATAGAACTGGGACTAGAATTGCTCTTTTGAGGCCTTAGAATTTGGCCATTCTGCAGTATATCCTGCATCTCAAAAGCTTTGTCTTCTGAGGTAAATTTAATTGTTGAAAACCACCAAGAGGCTCTGAGGCCAAATAAGGTAGATGACCAGATTTCATAATCTACTGTTAGTCCAAAATGAGCTGGCTTTTTAACAAGAATGTTTTCCTTGAGAATTGTAGCTAATAGCCTAATACATGCATTTCAAAAACTAGATCCCCCAAAAGACAACAGAGAATGATAGAATATCCCATTTGATTCATCTCACATATACACAGCAGTCTCAGAATTGTAGTGCCAGTACCACTAATAATTATGATCACTGGAAAAAGTTTAAAATTTTTAAATTGAAGATGTTTTTCTCATCCTGTCTCCTTTTTTGGTGTATTAAATCTTCATTTTCATCGTTGGACCATATAGCCATTACATACTGAATTCTCCCTGAAAGTCTCCTTTAGAATTGATTTGCTAGTAGCTCTATGTTTAGTGCTCAGCACCAGTTCTTACACCAGTGTCTCTGGTCATTTTGGTCTGAAGCTTGTTCTCTCATTCTAGGTATGGCAAATTTCTGTTGAAGAAGGGTGCATAGTAAATATTTAGGCTCTGTGGGCCAAAAATGGTCCTGTCATGTATTTGTGAGTGTGTGTGTACTTAACACATTTTTTTAATGTAAAAGCCATTCTTAGCTTGCTGGGTGTGGTGGCTCATGCCTGTAATCCCAGCACTTTGCAGGACTGAGATGGGAGGATCTCTTGAGCTCAGGAGCTTGATACCAGCTTGGGCAATATAGTGAGGCAAATCTTTACTTAAAAAAAAAAAAAAAGCCCTTCTTAGCTTAAGAACTGGACAAAAGTACCACTTACTTGGTAGCAGTTTGCCAACCCCTGCTGCAGAAGATTCCTCAAAAGGGACTCATGGAGTTAACAGTCCAGTTTTGCTGGCTATAAAATCCTTGGCTTACGCTTTATATATTTTAAATATATTACTTCATTTTCTTGTCACGTAAAACATTGTAGTTGAAATCTGATGATAATATGATTTTTTTAAATAGTCCACTTGGTGTTGGTCATTCTGGGTTGATACTCTCAAGTTTGCAAAGTGTTTTTTTCAATATCTACTTTTTAAGTATTTTGTTTTTAAAAGTTTTCTTAATTTATTTTATCCCCTTTCATTGGTCTTCATCTATAAGAACTCCTATTACTCATATTTTGGGTCTTTGCTCATTTTTAATATTTGCTACTTTCTCCTTTTATTTTTAAAAAAATGCAATCCTTAGGTTTGACTCTGATCTTTTTCTCATTTCTTTTTAATTTTTATTGCTAATTCTTTTCGTTTCTTTCTTTCTTTTTTTCTTTTTTTTTTTTTTGAGATGGAGTCTTGCTTTGTCGCCCAGGCTGAAGTGCAGTGGAGCGATCTTGGAAGTTGTGAGTACAACTTCTGCCTCCGGGTTTTAAGTGATTCTCCCGCCTCGGCCTCCTGAGTAGCTGGGATTACAGGCATGCACCACCATGCCCAGCTACTTTTTGTATTTTTAGTAGAGACGGGGTTTCACCATGTTGGCCAGGCTGGTCTCAAACTCCTGACTTCATGATCCTCCCACCTCGACCTCCCAAACTCCTGGGATTACAGGCATGAGCCACCGCGCCTGGCCTGCTAATTCTTTTTGGTGCCTCATTTCTGAGTTTTCTAATTCTAATTTAGGTTATTCTTTCATGTCTTGTAGCTTTTTTAGACAGCCTTGCTCTGTCACCCAGCCTGGATCTCGGCTCACTGCAACTTTTACCTCTGGGGTTGAAGCAATTCTCCTGCCTCAGCCTCCTGAGTAGCTGGGATTACAGTCACACACTATGGCTAATTTTGTATATTTTTGATAGAGATGCGGTTTCACCATGTTGGCCAGGCTGGTCTCAAACTCCTGACCTCAAGTGATCCACCTGCCTCAGCTTCACAAAATGCTGGGATTACAGCCATGAGCCACCGCACCCAGCCTAGTCTTTTGAGTTTGTATTAAGATTTATAGAAAAAGGAATGTAGATTTTGTTAAAGACATCTTAGGTTACAAGAGGCCCTCAAGATCAAGGTATTTCTTCCCTTAAAAGAAATGAGTTTTCATTGTTAATAAGAGACTAGTTTTAAGGGTAGTATTTAAATGAACTGTCCTAGTAGAAAGCTGGAATCTGGAAACTCCTTTATTCTGCCTCTGTAGAAATGGCTTTATACATGACTACAGCAACAATTGAACTCCTTGTTTCTGTGGACAGTAACGTTTATCTTACGGTTGCGCTAGGCGAGAAGTCAGGAAAAGGAGCTGAATGTGTAACTGTGATTTCCTTCTCTGTAGTGCGTTCCATGGGAACCGGTACAAGCAGACTCTATAGTGCTCTCGCCAAGACACTGAACAGCAGCGCTGCCTCCCAGCACCCAGAGTATTTGGTGTCACCTGACCCAGAACATCTGGAGCCCATTGATCCTAAAGAGCTTCTTGAGGAATGCAGGGCTGTCCTGCACACCCGACCTCCCCGGTACCAGAGAGATTTTGTGGACCTGAGGACAGATTGCTCCAGTACCCACCCACCTATCAGGGTCATGCAGTGGAACATCCTCGCCCAAGGTATGCCTGATGCTTTCGTGCCTGTGCAGTCAAGTTTTCTGTGACTGCCTTTCTGCTTCTGCGCATGCTCGGTGCACTGATGTTTTATGTTGATGGAAGAGGTGTGGGCAGATGGAGGTGTAGAAGGATAGGGTGATTTCAGCAGCATGGCAAGCCTCCTAAAAGAAGTTAAGAAAGGAAGTCATCTAGCTTTCCCTTTTTAAAATTTTTATTTATTTTTTGAGATGGAGTTTCACATGTTGCCCAGGCTGCAGTGCAATGGCGTGATCTCAGCTCACCACAACCTCTGCCTCCCGGGTTCAAGCGATTCTCCTGCCTCAGCTTCTCGAGTAGCTGGGATTACAGGCACCCACCACTACAGCCAGCTAATTTTTTGTATTTTTAGTAGAGTCAGGGTTTCACCATGTTGGCCAGCCTGGTCACAAACTCCTGACCTCAGGCGATCCACCCGCCTCAGCCTCCCAAAGTGCTAGGATTACGGGGCGTGAGCCACCACGCCCAGCCTGATTTTCACTATTAAAACAAGTAACTCGACATTTATTCTTTACACCTTCCATGTTTGTGGACTATCCTAGAACAATGAAAGTCTGTCTGCTTCCCAGCAGATCAGAATTTGAAGGGCTCTACATTTTGTTAGGCAGTTAAATGGAACAGCCTCAACCTCTGTGTTGCCCCAGCTTTCAGTCCATGGCACTATGATAGCATTTGCAGGGAAGAAACTGAATGGGTATCACAGAACTTTTCTGCAGGGAATGGCAGCTCTGTGTGGGTGGTGGTGAGTCTAGGTATTTTTGTGGTCATATTATCTATATTCATTTATATAACTTGAGACCAAAATGATGTTGCTTCAGTTCTCTGTTTTCTTTTTTTTTTAATTGAAACACAGTATGAGATAGTATTCAGTTCTTTGTTGATTAAGATATTATTTTGTGGGATTACGGATGTTAGCCAGCACACCCGGCCTATTAAAGACGTTTTGAAAACTAAAAAAAA